ATTGGTATTATATACTGCTCCCCCCCATGTACATGACCTGGCTGAGCTACAGGGAGGACATTTATTATTAAGATTATTGGTATTGTTACTATTATAATTTTTTTATTATTATTATTATTATACTGTATTCTCCCCACCATGTACAGAGCCATCAATGTTGTTATTATTACTTTTATTATGATTTATTACTATATTATATAAGGCCCCACGGTGTACATGATTAGGCTGCGCAACAGGGAAGTATTATTATTGATAATAATAATAATATTCTCTCCCCATGTATAGAGTCATCAATATTATTTATTATTTTGAATTAATATTTTTATTCAGGGAAGTAATTATCATTGTTTTGTTTTTATTGTTATTTTGTTTAATGTTTACACACAATGTACAGAGCCATCAATGTTATAAATTATTCTTATTGTTGTTATTTAAAAACATTTATGATTGTATTATGTACTGCCCCATTGTGTACATGGTTACGCTGAGCCACAGCTACAGGTTATTATATTATTATTATTATATACTGTGCCCATGCAGTGTACAGAGAGGTACGATTTGTTTTTATTCTTTATTATTATATGTTTAACTGGCAGCGTGGAGAGTTGTAGAGATGTGTCATTTCTATGTATAGTATTAGTGTAATGATATATATTGTATATAAGGGGAGATATCTGATCAATGTTTATCATTCGCAGTCCTATGTTCTTCCTGCGTCTCTCACACGTAAGGGGTCCGACCTATCATGAATGGTTTTATTCTGAATGGCTGGGATGTACATCAGATATATATTTTGGGTGGTAAACATTCTCCCGGTATTATTATTATACAGTATTTGTAGAGCGCCAACAGTTTGCGCAGCGCTTTACAATATAAGGAAGACATTACAATGTAGTTTGTGCTCTGATGTCATCGGCGGGCGCCGTACCCCCCATACATACACAGACACCCGCCAGGACATCCCAGGTGTCCGGATTGGGCCATTGTGTTTCCTGACACCACGTGCTTCCAGGTATCCCGTGTAGTGGTTGTCCAGGTGACAGGGTGTAAACTGCGTTCAGCGTGACTGTACATAAACTGAGCGGGCAAAGTGCAGGTAGAGAGGATGAGGAAATGT